ATGGAACTTGGAGCTGCTGCCGTAAGAGCAGCAAAAGCTGTGGGATATGTTGGAGCAGGAACTGTTGAATTTATACTTGATAAAAAGTCTCATGCTTTTCATTTCATGGAAATGAACACTAGATTGCAGGTTGAACATCCCATTACTGAATATATAACAGGTATTAACTATGTATGAATTTAATGTAAAATGTTCATGTATAAAGTTCAATATTGTAGAATATGATTAATTTTAAATTTAATAATGTTTCCATTCTGAAGTTGATTTTCTAGGTTTAGTATTTTATTAATCAAAACATAATAAGTTAAATACATTTTAAGGAATATTGTATGACTCTTTAATTACAGCATAGCATGAATTAAATTTTTTAATTTTTATTTAGTTATTTATCATGATATTCTTTATAATTGCTTAGTTATTTATTTTAATTTAACTAATAGAGTTTGCATAATAATTATAAGGAATTTACCTGTAGTTTTCAATTATATTAATATTTTATTATTGAACTTTATAATTATGAATTTTCAAATATCTTTTCAGGGACTGACCTTGTTGAATGGCAGCTTCGAATAGCAGGTGGAGAACCATTGCCAGTAACACAAGAGGATATTACGTTATCAGGTCATGCTTTTGAAGCACGTATTTATGCTGAAGATCCCAGAGGAGGATTTTTGCCTGGAGCAGGACCATTGAGACATCTTCGGCCCCCACAGACTGCAACAGATGTTCGTGTTGAAACAGGTATAAAAGATTGTTATTAGTATCAGTTATTTTGCGACTTAATATTTATATTGTAAAAAGAACTTTTATATGATTTTCACAATTCTTATTGAACTTTCTTGGGTTTGAATAAAAATAAAAATGATTATGAATTAGGTGTTCGAGAAGGTGATGAAGTATCCATTCATTACGATCCTATGATTGCTAAATTAGTTGTTTGGGGAGAAGATAGAACCCAAGCTCTTACCAAACTCAAAGCTAAATTGACAGATTATCATGTAAGTTTATTTGAATATTTAAAATAAAACTTATATATATGTATTAGACTTGGTATGTTAGGTTTAATGTTTTCAATTAATTTTCAGATTATGGGATTAGAAACAAATGTAAATTTCTTGCTTGATCTTGCAAGTCATCCAAATTTTGCTGCAGGAGATGTACATACTGGTTTCATAGATGAACATAGAGAATCTCTGTTCCCACCATTACTTGCTGATGAGACGAGCATCGGTCAAGCAATCATGGGCTTGATTTTAAATGAGAGAGTAAGCAATGTAAAAAATGCTTATTCTACTAAAAAGATGGACTCACCATATTTTCAAGAAATGGGATTCAGATTGAATCACTCTTTGGAAAGGACAATTAAATTAACTCACAATGATAAAGGTAAATTGAATCAGTATTGAAATAATTAAAATGAAGTAAAATCAGTATTGAACAATTATAAAGGTACTGTCAAATATATTTTACAATTTTATATAACTTAAATAAACATAAATACTTAAATTAATATAATGAAAAGCCAAGAGCTGCAGTACTATATATATAACTAATTTTCCCTTGATAATATTTTCAATATATAGAAGAGTCGTTTCAAAAGATTTGTATACATGATTTAAATTTGATTTAAGCTTTGAAATAATATATAAATTTTCATAAAATAATCATTTATACATAGTCATAAAACTTTTTGTAATTTCTATTTTTTATAGAAGGTGATAGAAAATTAACAATAACAAATAATGATTTACAATGCACATACATAAAAGATTTTTTTTTTTATTTCTGCTAATTTTAACAATCAGATTACAATACAATCTATAAGTTAAAAGTTATGGTATTGAAAATCAAAATCAAGAAGAAAAAAAAAAGAATAAAAGGAGTTAAAGAAAATAAATAGAATAAATAAATGAATATGAAATGAAATAATAATTAAAATAATAGTATTAATAATAAAAACATATTCAATAATAAATAATAATTAAAAGTAACTTGTTTGAAAATTTTCCTGTGCAAAACAGAGAAAATTATGTTGTTGACGGTAGATCACTGGGCCATTTTCTTTTCAAGTGTTTTAATTTTTCGGATGTCTGTACTATTTGCATTTCATACATAAAAGATAAATGTATTAGTTTTTTCAATTATTAATTATTATAATATAATTTTAATTATAATTAATACTTCAATTATTAATTATATCATAAATATATAGTACATGTTAAAACAAATTTAAAGCATATATTGAAAAAGTCAATATTTAACCTAATAATTATTTTAATGACTTCATTAGATTGAGTTTTAAATAAATAATAATTTTATGACTTTATTAGATTTTAATAATAAATTCTAAAGTTTTCAATTTATTTCATAAAGTGTACAAATATGAGAATAAAGTCTTATTTTTAAATGATAGTAAAATGTATTCGAATGAGTTATTATGTTGGAAATGTGAGAGCTGATTATAGCTTCAAAAGAGAATAAATCTAATTGAAATGTGCAATCACAAAAAAATTAACTAAAATATCACTCCAGTATGTTAATAAAAGCTCAATAAAATAACTTCTATTTATATGTTTTAGATATTACTGTGCAATTACAGCAAGTCTCATCAAATGTATTCCAAATGAAAGTTGGGCCTGAAGGGCAGTGGCGTACAATGAAAGCAGTTCTCACTGAAAAGGGAGGTGGTGCTTTAAAACTGACTTTAGACGGTGTTATTAGTAATTGCAGTGTTGTCATGGATCATGATATTTTATCTGTATTCGATGTGGTAAGTGCTTAACATTAAATGTAGATAATTAAAAACTTGAACTGTATTGAAATAAATATAAGATTGCCAAATTTAATTTTATAACTATGTGAGTAGTTGTATAAGTACAAACACTTATGTATTTTTTGATATGTTATGACATATAATTTTATGCAATCATCAGTGAATGAGAAATAATTGAAGAGTAAACTTTGTGAAATTCATTAATAATAAAATATATAATGTTCATTATTGACATTATCATGTAACACTAAATGTGTCAGTAATTGTGTATTTGGCAGCGATAGTAGTTGTAATAAATATGAAACTTTTGAGAAGACATATACCTTATCACAATCTGAGCCTATATATATTCTAGCCTTCTATATATTTTGATAGCTATATGTATTCTAGCTCTCAAGTAATTAATTTCGAATGTTTTTTTATTTTTCCTCAGGGTGGCCGAAAGGATTTTAAATTACATGTACCCAAATTTATAACCAGTGCAGGAGACGGTGGCAGTGGAGGTAGTGCAGGGGCTGCTGTTTCTCCAATGCCAGGTGTTCTGGAAAAGCTTTTTGTTAGTCCAGGTGATAAAGTTGAGAAAGGTACTCCACTTGCAGTTATCATTGGTAAGTAATTTGACCCTCCATTTGAACTATTATTAAACATTAATATAAGTATTTTGGTCTATTATTAAAGAAGCAATTATTTCAATATTTACTAATTTAACTTTAACTTTATATAAACTAATATTTGATTAGGTAAATATATATATTTTTTTATTCTGGCTTTAAATAAATAATTTAAATTAGAGATTACTTTATATTATCTTTAATTATTTTAAATATTATGTCAATTTATACTTCTCAAATATATTGAATTTTTCATAATATTGAATGCTAGTTCTAAATAACTATTTACAAATAAATTAATTTATCTAGCAATGAAAATGGAGCATGTAATCAAGGCTTCAAAGGATGGTACTGTGGCTTCTGTGAATTCCAACTTGGGCAAAAGTGTACAAAAAGGAGCTACCATTGTGAAATTTGAAGAAGATGCTAAATGATGCAGGTGAAATAGATTTAATTATATCAACAATTAGAAGAAAAAACGTTTTTCTTTTTACTACATTTTTAAGTCTTCGTATTTTTTCAAAATATCAGACCTGTTATGTCGGTTTTAGACCTAAAGCTAAATTTCTAAAAGTGCAAAGAAATTTAATTTTTCTATAACTCAACAATACATTTTTAAAATCGGATTGAAATGTGATTGTGGTATAATTCTATCTATAAAATTTTATTATCATAACATTCCATACACAGGATGACTGAAAGAATAATCACACATTTTAATGTTTTGATTATTTTTTTCCTATTTAAGAGCTTTAATTTATTATGTAAAAATATATGATATATTTTTAACTTGAGAAGTGATCTGCGTGCGTAGTAACTCAATGATATATATTGCACTAAAAAGAAAATTTATTTATTATTCGTGCCTTAAAAAATATTAACAATATTTTTGTGATATTTTTATAAGCAGTTTATATACCAAAGGTGTACAGAAAAAAAGATATTTAACGTCATACATTTTTCAATATTTTGCAAATTTTCTCGAATAGTAAATGGCAGGGGGGATACTCTTATTTTTCAGAAATAAAACTCGTGAATCAGGTATTTTTTAATAAACAAAACATAGTTGCCATATTTTATATTGGGGTGTTTAAAGGTACTTGATGATATATAATTGTAAAGTAGATCAGATATAATTTTGTATATAGTATAGATGTATGGGTAATTTATTTAAGCTTATTATATTTGTAGATTCATTTATAATCTATGTACAAAAATCGTAACGTTATATTTCTTTGTTATATTATATTTAAATAAATTTTATAAATGTTTTAATCTTGAATTTTTTTAAAGTCCATTTTTTAATATATTATTTAAATTCATAATGATTTTCAATAAATTAATAAAGTATATTATTTTAAAAACTTGTATTGAACTGCAATAAAATTAATAAATACGTTGTAGCTGCCCCGAGTGCCTGGAAAGAAATATTATTAAAATAATATAAACTTAATTTGAAAGCAATCTTAAATGTTTCGTGGATATAAAATAGTATTAATATATTATATTCTGACAGATAACTGATGTATTAACAATATAATCATAGTAAAACAAATAGTAATTATACTTACGTTATACCATAGTGCAAAATCCAAATTAAACATTCCATTGCAACTTAACTTGAGGTCTCTGTGAAACATTTGTAAAGAGAAAGATAGAAGCCGAGGTTTCCATGATGATGGTGTGGCTTCATTTATCAACATATCGTGAACAATTGTTATTCCATACCTCGCCTATAAAAAAATTATAAAGCAAAGTTATTGAATTAAAATTAAATAAAAAAAACAAGGGATTTATTTTATACCATCATTATAAAAAAAATCTATCCTTTATTACATGTTTTATCAATATGAGTAAAGTTTATAGTAATAATAAGGTTTTTTACATTATTTGCCCATTTTAACTTGGACGCTCACACACCATATTTTCTTTTTTATATCTAAACCATCATGGTTTTAGTAGACATTAATTTGTTTCCGACATTTTTTTTGATAATAAATTTCACTGTTACATATATAAAGTAATCGATATATTGATTATAATATATATTATAACTTTATGAATTAAATTGCACAAAAGATACCATTTTTCATGATACTGATATCATTCTAACAAATTTTAAAATAATCCCTGATTATAATTGACTATTTTTATTACATAAATTTGGGAATAAGTGAGAATTTTCTTTTTTTATTGTAATTCAAACTGACCTGCTCTAAACATTTTTCGCCCATGTAAATAGGATAAGTCACCAATATTATATCGCCTATTTCCCACCAAATATACATGAGAAAAAAACCATAACTAAAATCTTTATTTTCAAAATGCAAGTGGGCCAGTATAATAAAAGCTCCATAACTTATTTCTGAATAAATTGATAAAAGACTTGTTGCTCTCAAAATTCCATATATAGAATTAAATTTGTCTAGTAAGTTTTGTAATTCGTTATACGAATCCAAATATGAAAATAAATCATTGGTGTTTGTACAATTCAATATTTTTAATTGACTATAAGATAATTTTGACAGACGTATCAGGTCTGTATTAATTATCCTAAATCGTTGGCGTAATATGTAAGCAGCGTTTACCATTAAATATAATATAAAAGTATCTCTTACATGAGAGAGTTGATATATTAATGAAATCAATAAATGGACCGGTTGCGAATCTAAGTAAATTTTAAAAATAAATGTACAGTTTAGTGGCGCATATGTAACTAAGAATATAAAAACTATTAATAAATTTGTTTTAAATGTATTCTTGTATAAATATTTTCTATTCAAATAATATTTTAGGTCGATTTTTTCAAGTTCTGAATACCACACGGGTATATTTTTTACATTTGCCGAATCCGTTCCTAACATCGCAAAAATTGATATGAATACTATTGATAAGCCGTATGCATCGGCGAAGTATATTGTTTTTTCATCAACAAGTTTTAACTTTCTTTGTAAAACGTTAGTCACAAATAACGATCCTACGACTAAACTGTAGATTACAATTATATACTTTAGGCACTTGCTAGTTTTCGATACTTTATATAATTTAATATTCTTTTCACAAACGCTTTCCAACGGTATTATTCCGAACCATTTAAAGCAAAAGAAAAGCGGCGCGTTTCCATCATAAATATCATAGGCGTTATAATATTTTGTACATAAATAATTCAAAATTTTTGGTTTCTTCATTTTGATATATTTTATTTCAATGTCTTGCATGCGTGTTTTACTCATGAAACGTATGAAACTGTGAAAATAATGAAATTGTATTGCATCTTCATAAATTATGAGTGTCCATTAAATTTAATTAATATCTTCTCTATCATTTTTACATTATTTATGTTACTTTCATTAAAATTAATGGTAATAATTAAATTAAAATAAACTTTCTTTATATCATGTGGAGTATTTGTAATTTAGGCTGGATCGTTTCTTTCCGTATAAATAAATAAAGATATTATTAACTTTCCTAAGAAGAAATTTGTTTTTTCGAAGTTTAAAATCATTCTGAATTGTTGTTGACATTAACATTGGAACTAGTGGTATTTTTCCTTAAGGCAAGTTGCATGGGCCCGATATGTGTAAAAAACCAATTTTATCAACAAGATTTAGCAACTTATCAAATTGCTATCAAAACTCTATCTCATTTTTATAATTAAACCACGTTTTATAGGCCTATAGTACTTTATTTTTTTCTTTGGAATCTTATTTTGAGACAATGAACTTTATCACCATGCAAAGTTACCATAAAATTTTTAAGCAACTTTTTTTTAACAAGTAATGACGAAAAATAGCCCAGCTTTTCTATATCATTACATAAAACTAATCAGCTGATCGTATCATTTGGAAAAGTTTTTGAACTTTTAAAATCAGTACAGGATTTTTGCCGGAAACGCAGACAAATTTTTGCACTCACTTGCAAATTATAAAGATGCTGCTCGACTGATCGCCGCACGTTTTAGAGAAAACGATTGACTCACATACATACACACACACTCATACCCATACATACTTTTTTCAATTTTGCTCTCAAACGATTCAGAATTGCTTGAAACTTCGAGAAATCATAAACGTAGCAAATCCGCAATTCTGAATTATAATTTACAACAAAATGTGAACCTAAATATGAAGCTATTTCACATAATTTCAATGATATTTCGGATAGAAAATTGGGTAAAAATTTTGAAACTGATTTATCAAAATTTTTCGAAAATATTTAAAAATTATTTAAATGCCAGGGCGGGGACGATTTTGTACGGCAATGCCATGGCAATGCTCACATAATCTTTGAGTAATTATATGGATTTAATTATAATAAAATAAATGATTTAAATATAATAAAATAAGTTTATTTCATTGGTCAATATTAAATGGCAATGGTAAACCACAAACGTAGAACCAATAGTTTTTAGTTATACAGGGTGTCCCAGATCTTGACAGTCCTGAAAAAAATTATAAATCTATATTATCTCACGTGGTTTATAAATTATGAGCTTTTAAGTGCAACCTAGGGCTTTGGTGAAATAATGACAATTTTTTGGTTATTGTGGTTAGCTTTTATTAATTTTGTTCATTTAAACTGTGGAACCGTATTTTTAACGTAACCGCAAATAACTAAAAACGCACGTTTTCAAGAACTAAGACAATTTTTTGAAATATGGATTTAAATTTTTTAAAATAGGTCGATTTTCAGAGGTCTTCCTTTAAAAAAATGTGCTAACGTGTATTGGCAAGTTTCATCAAGAGTTGGCGCAATTTATAAGGATTGTAAAATGGTAAAATACTTGATAATTTTATTATAAACAATTAAAATCTAAATGTGATGTGATTTTTACTAACTATAACTTGATATATTTTACTCACATTCGGTTCAAAAGTTTCTCCCTCGCGCATACGACAAGCATTTGAACTGATTGTAAGTAAAATGTACTAGGAAAAAATAAGTCATTCTTAATTTGATAATAAAATATCAAGTATTTTATTATTTAACAATTCTGATTAAATGCGCCAGCGTTTGATGAAATTTGCCAGCGCCCTTAATTACTGAAGTACTAAAGTTTAAGGAGGTTGTTCGTTTTTTTTTACGAAAAATGCAAGGTATTTGTTTTTGTTTTTCTAGAAATGTATTCATCATAGAGACATGCGGTTTTTTTTAAACAAAAATTACAAAATTATAGAATGTTACGAAATTTTCTTTCTTTTTTTTTGGCCGTCATTTTTTAACCAGGGGGCGCCAAAGTCGGCCTTGCAAAATCGATCTCTTTTGCGGTGCGCCACAGATAAATCCGTTGCGCATCGCTTGAAACAAAAGAAGAAACTACGTTGAAGAAGAAGTTTGAATCCAGTCCCCCTACCAAAATGAAAGAAAAAAGCAAGAGGGAAAAAAATGGCAGCTATTTAAAAAAAAGTGTTAAAAAAGGCCTTTTTTGGGGGCGAGAAGCTTTGCAAAAAATTTTTGCGTAATGTTATCAAGTTGATTGAGGTAGGGGGACTAGGTATTGCAATGGTGAACAAATTAATTAAAATGCAAGTCAATCCGACTTGTAGTTTTTTTTAATTTGTGGCACCGCATTGAAAAAAGTCAATTTGAGAAAAACGTATTTAAAGTTTTTAATATAATGTACTAAATTAAATACACCATTTAATTTAACCATGGTGTTCAAAGAATGCTGATACATTAAAAAGG